GATTTTGAGGGAAACCCCCACACCAAAATTTCTAAATGACGTGGGGGTCCCCCAAAATCCATACCAGATCCTTATCCAAGGATGCAGCCCAGTAGGTCAGGAAAGGGGGGGATGAGCAAGCACCTCCCCCCTCCTGATTCATACCAGGAAACCAATAGGGAAACAAAAAGGGGAAGAAAAAAGGAAAAAAGGAAAAAAACTTAAACAATGGGGAAGAAAAGGGAAAAAAACAGAAGAAAAAAAAGAAAAAGCCCCCCCCCCAAAGCACCTTGTCCCCATGTTGATAGGGACAAGGGCCTCTTCCCCACAACCATGGCTTGTGGTTGTGGAGGTCTGCGGGCGGTGGGCTTATTGGAATCTGGAAGCCCGCAGATCCTGACCACAACCAGGGGTGGACTGGCCATTTGGAAACTCAGGCACTGCCTGAGGGCCCGGGGTCAGTAGGGGGCCCCATGAGATGCCCCTGGTACCTTTTTCATAGGCTTTTTTGAGTTTGGGCAAGGACACAGGGGCCCCATGATCCCCTATTGCCCGGGGGCCACATGAGTTATCAGTCCGCCCCTGACCACACCCCTATGTTAATGAGTATGTGGTACATGGTACTGCTACCCATTAACATAAAAAAAGACAGGAGACAGTCTTTGACAAGTCCTTTACTAAAAATAAAAATGTAAAAAATGTCCCCCGAAGTAGATCCAACGTCAATCATGATGCCGCCACCTCTACACGACAGAAGAAAAAAAAACCTCCGCTCCCCACACTGTCTCCCACCGTCTGACAGCTGCACCTGCGATGACAGTTCTTGTATACTGTCATGACATCACATGGGGGCGTGGTTCACCCAACCCCTTGTGACATTATCGTGTGCTGTGATTGGTCAAAGCGCTGCACCTGACCTGTGATCAAAAACTAGAAGGACATGAATATTCGATCCTATTTTGCCAGTAGGACCGGAATCTTTTAGTAAGAGAGATTGCCTAACTTGTCAATTTATTACACATGATCGCTCTGAGACAATAAAGGTAACCTTCTTCAGATAAAACGGCTCATAACGTGTGCGACGGACTTTGTAGTATATGTACTTTCATGTCCGTGTAAATTATTGCATGTAGGCCGTACCACACGCACTTTACAGAAGCATGTTGAGGGAACATTGCAGGCTTATCAAGGATGGTAGGTATAATCACCACTTTCTTCAGTGTGACGTTAGCAGCATTGTGCAAGTGCCCCCCCCCACCCCCAAACCTGGGTTTCCAGCGCTTGAACCTCTTGTTTTATTAAATTGATGAATATACTTATTTTGTTGCTGGCATCAAACAATCGCCACAGTAAGAGGTCATGGAGAACTGAAAGGCCATCCTGACCAGTTTTGTTGGATCATACGGCTGCCTCAGAGGTGGGCTTGTGTTTGTTTGGCATGCCCCACAAAATGGGCCCACCGGTTGGGTCCATAACTAATCTCTATTGTTTTGCTTTGCATTTATAATCGATTAGGGACTCCCAGGTCGGTAGTATATGGACCTTGAGGCAGTTTCAGTTTTTGTTTCTGCACATCTATATATGACAGCTTCCCGCTGTCATTGATTGCTAAGGAAGGAACAGGTGCTGACAACTGCCGCCCTCCCTAGAAACCGCTGACATTACTGGCACACTCCCACACCATCCCACTCAGGCATCACCAGCAATGCTCCCACTTTCCATTCATTACACATCTGCATCAGAGGCTGGTCATCAGCTCTGAGGAAAGGGATTCGTCCCCAAAACACGTCAGCCATTTGACCGCACTGACAGTGAGGACACCTTGCCTGCCGTTGTGGCCATTGTCATTTTTCTATGCTTTTTAGATACATGCTTCGTTTGTGAGTATGTTTTTATTATTTTTTACTCTTTACATTAAACCTTGGATAATGCACTAGGTGTGAGCGCCACCTGTTTTCTCTTTATCCAGTGGCTGATTTCCCCGTCTGAGGAGGGCTGCACCCCTTAAGCATTTCCTTTGGTTTTCGCTGTCCTGATACCCTTCCCTTTTGGCTGTGCATATCCTGAGGTGCTGGAGAGTACATACGATTACTGGCACACTGACTTACAGTACTTAACCCCTTCACGGCGGCCGCACGCAAATGTGCGGCCTCCCGGCGTCTGGGCCTAGACGTCGAGCAGCCTCACATTTGCGTTCAAGTAGCAAAAACATGTGCTGAGAGCACGCGCCATGCGTGCTCCCAGCACACATATGAGGTACTCACGGAAAGGTCCTGGTCCGCTCTTTCGATCGGGAGCTTTCCCAATCATGTGACCGGTCGAGACGTCACGTCATGGTGGCCACATGACACTAAGCCACACCCCATCCTAGGAACTCCTCTTCACGCCGGGACGATCTGGCATGAAGGGGTTAAACAATACAAAAGGGCGTCAGCAAATGAACAGGGATATTACTGACAACACAGCCAAAATATAACCATTGGCCATATAGTATTTCTAAGACCAAATATGGCCATAACTGTATTTTTATTTATTTATTTTTTTATAGAATAAAGCTTTATTTGGTTCAAATTTTTTAAAATTCAATTAAGTGCAACTGTCAGGGCTCTGTCCACAGCAGAGGTACTCGGAGACCTGGCATTCCTGCCAGTACCTTGCATGGCTGCAGAAATGCACGCTAATGAAAATCTATGTGCATTGGCGCATAGGCGTGAGCCGGAACACGCATGTGCACTGGCTCATAGTTATGCACACATTAGCCCAGTTTGGCACCAGACGGCCTTTATAAGGAAGCCCTGGTCTCCTGAAAAAGCGGTTTCCATGAAACCCCCCACTATATTCTGGAACGCTCCAGAAGGCCGGGGGAAGTAACAGGCCAGCAACCTGTGAAGCACTGAGAAACTCCTAACACAAGTAACCCCAGCTCCTCTACCTACAGAGAAGCCAACTAACTTTTCTTAACCCCTAAAAACCTGTGGGGTGGTACTAATGGAAGTTTTATTGATGGTGCCAGTGTCCTGAAGAAGCGGTTTTTCCACGAACGCCCCCACTATATTCTGGAACGCTCCAGAAGGCCGGGGGAAGTAACAGGCCAGCAACCTGTGAAGCACTGAGCAGCTCCTAACACAAGTAACCCCAGCTACTCTACCTACAGAGAAACTTTCCCTAACCCCTAACAACCTGGGGGGTGCTACTAATGAAAGTTTTAGTGATGGCGCCGATGTCCTGAAGAAGCGGTTTCCATGAAACGCGTAGAAACATGCGACATCTTATAGAATCCCACGTTCTGTACTCTTCCTTTTGTATTTCTTGACAGATGGCGCCCCCTATTTTTCATGTTTGGAATAAGTAAATCATATCTGTCACATGCAATATTGGAATATGTATGCTTACATTGGTCCAAGTTGGGCCAATGTAACTATGCAAAAAAAAATTCCATACCTGGAGTTCAGCTTTAAGAAAACTGTGAGACATGATGTCAAACATACTGAGAAACAGATTATGGGTCTGCATACATTTTAATCTAGTACACACAAAAGAAAAAAAAAAAAAGTCAGAGCCATCTGTGATAGTATTCCCAGAATCCTTTGTCATATTACAAGCAAAGAGCCCAAAACACTCCTGTGAATAGAACATTGCTACAGCGTAAGGATCAAGCCTAAGAGCCATCTAATTACATTAAAGAGTGAATATCGCGTGTACTTCCGTGTTCTATTAAACAATGGATCCTCAAATAAACGCTTTGTTCTCGTGGACTCGGAGTGATGTGATTAAACATAGGTTAATTTGATGTGTTTGCTACGTTTGGCCCATTAATCTCGTCAACTAGACTGAGACATTAAATCCCTTTTTTGAACAATGTCCAAATGCAAAGCTTATGAGGTTTTCTCTTGGAAAAAAAAAAACACACATAGACTGCTGTTGTTACAGGAAAAGCTTTGCCTGCCACGAACGGCTTTTAGGAATATTGAATCTCAATATCTCAATATTTTTGATGTTGTTGCTTAAATAATAAGTTCATCTTTGAAAAACACCATTTTTTTGCAGGTGAAAAAAGTGAATTTATTTTTTTTGGGGGGGGGGGGGGGCTGAAAAGCATTGTATCCTTCATCAGCAGATCACTGGTGCAATGTCGCTGCCGCCACCACTAAAGGACCCAAAGCCTGCCAATGAACATACATAAACAGAGCATACAATAGCCGTATGTAACAATGTGTAATACAATCTAATAAGATAGTAAAACTGAATTAAATGGATACATATAACAGCCGAGTGATCCATTGCATAGCATATCAAAGAGTCACTTTGTTTAGAATTATGTTTTTCTTTTCTTGGACCCTTTTTTTGTGGTTATGTCTGTATTATGAGTCCTGCAGAGAATATATCTCCATCTACACCTCCTCCCTTGGTCACTCGATAAACTCCCATGGCTTTAAGTACCATCTCTATGCTGATGACACACAAATCTATCTTTCTACTCCTCATCTCCCCCCTTCAGTCTCCTCCTCACCTCACCCCTTCAGTCTCCTCCTCACCTCACCCCTTCAGTCTCCTCACGCATTACTAACCTACTAAGTGACATATCGGCATGGCTGTCACTCCACTTCCTCAAACTCAATCTTTTTAAAACTAAGCTCTTAGTATTCCCCTCAGCCCGTGCCCCCTCCCCCGACCTCTCCATCAAGATCAATAATACAACCATCGATCCCTTCCCCTCATGCCAGGGTACTAGGTGTAATCCTGGACTCCCATCTGTCCTTTCACCCCCAACTCCAATCACTGTCCAAATCTTGTAGACTTCACCTCCGCAACATCTCCAAGATACGGCCGTTCCTAACCTCGGAAACCACTAAGCAACTTATTCACTCCCTTGTTATCTGTCGCCTTCACTATTGTAACTCCCTCCACATTGGCCGACCTCATCGCAGGCTATCCACTCTTCAGTCTATCATGAACGCTGCTGCCAGACTCATCCACCTTACTAACCATTCCATATCTGCCATCCCTCTCTGCCAATCCCTCCACTGGCATCCACTCAATGCCCTCCATCCCTCTCTGCCAATCCCTCCACTGGCCTCCACTCAGTGTCCTCCATCCTTTTCTGCCAATTCCTCCACTGGCCTCCATTCAGTGTCCTCCATCCCTCTCTGCCAATATCTCCACTGGCCTCTACTCAGTGTCCTCCACCCCTCTCTGCCAATCCCTCCACTGGCCTCCACTCAGTGTCCTCCACCCCTGTCTGCAAATCCCTCCACTGGCCTCCACTCAGTGTCCTCCATCCCTCTCTGCCAATCCCTCCACTGGCCTCCACTCAGTGTCCTCCACCCCTCTCGGCCAACCCTTCTACTGGCCTCCATTCAGTGTCCTCCACCCCTCTCCGTCAATCCCTCAACTGGCCTCCACTCAGTGTCCTCCACTCCTCTCTGCCAATCCCTCCACTGGCCTCCACTCAGTGTCCTCCATCCCTCTCTGTCAATCCCTCAACTGGTCTCCGCTCAGTGTCCTCCATCCCTCCCTGCCAATCCCTCCAATGTCCTCCACTCAGTGTCTTCCATCCCCCTCTGCTGATCCCTCCACTGGTCTCCACTCAGTGTCCTCCACCCCTCTCTGCCAATCCCTCCACTGGTCTCCGCTCAGTGTCCTCCATCCCTCCCTGCCAATCCCTCCAATATCCTCCACTCAGTGTCTTCCATCCCCTTCTGCTTATCCCTCCACTGGTCTCCACTCAGTGTCCTCCATCCCTCTCTGCCAATCCCTACACTGGCCTCCACTCAGTGTCCTCCACCCCTCTATGCCAATCCCTCCTCTGGCCTCCACTCAGTGTCCTCCACCCCTCTCTGCCAATCCCTCCACTGGCTTCCCATTGCCCAACGAATAAAATTTAAAACATTAACAATAACATATAAAGCCATATTTAATTCGCCCCAAATTACATCTCTAATCTTGTCTCCAAGTATCACCCAAACTGTCCTCTCATGACCTCCTGCTCTCTAGCCCCCTTGTCTCCTCCTCCCATGCTCCTCTCCAGAGCTTCCCCCATCCTCTGGAACTCTCTACCCTCATTTATCAGACTATGCTCACTTTTAGGCGTACTCTGAAAAACGATCTCTTCAGGGAAGCCTATCCTGCCCTCAGCTAATAAAGGAATCTTCTGTTCCTCTTACCAGTCCATCCCCCACAGCTATTACCCTTTGTACCACTAGCCCCTCCCTCCTAGATTGTAAGCTCCCAGGATCAGGGCCCTCCTAACCATCTTGTATTGAACTGTATTGTTGTTGTATTGTCTCCCGTTATATTGTAAAGCGCTGAGCAAACTGTTGGCGCCATAAATCCTGTATAATAATAATAATAATAATAATAATAAATCCTGTATAATAAATAATAATAATATATAAATCCTGTATAATAATATGACTTTTTTATGTCAATAAATAGCTATATGTATTTTATTTTGTGGTCTCTTACTGTGCCAAAAAAATCCAGTAATTTCGCCGTAATATCACAAGTGTAATACAAGCGCCACACCCTTAATACTTTAAAGCAGCAATTCCACCTCAAAGAAACCAAATAAATTTCTTAGTGCTATAACTTAAATGAAGGAATGCGCTAAAACCACAAACTATTCCTAATTTAGTGTAGAAACATTAGTGCAAAAGATATATATATATCTATTCTCAATTCATATCAAAAAATATCAAAATTATGTGCAAAACTATTTTTTTAAATAATTAAATTTGTGAATATAAAAATTGTCCAATTTTGAATTTCTTCAAATGTCCAAACAAATCCTTTTCAAATTCAGGTGCTCTCAAAGAAATTGTTTGGACATTTGAAGAAATTCAAAATTGGACAATTTTTATATTCACAAATTTAATTATTTAAATTACTTATGCACTAAATAGTTTTGCACATAATTTTGATCTTTTTTGATCTTTTTTTGATCTTTTTTGATATTAATTGAGAATCTATATATATATATCTTTTGCACTAATGTTTCTAAATTAGGAATAGTTTGTGGTTTTAGCGCATTCCTTTATTTAAATTTCACACCGTAATCATTGTCCGGCATTTTTTTTTTTTGTTCTCAGTAGGATTTGGCACTAGGAAGCTTTTTCGTTAATTCATTTTTTAGGACTACAAGAGCACTCACCATTGCCCTCGTTCATTGAGAACTACAAGCCATCAGCCACAATAACTGACAGCACTTGTAGGCATTCATGCACAGAACTCTGAATAAATGACATAGCGGTGTGGGCGGAGCCCCACGCGGCCACACTATTTGCAAATTGTGACAGTGGGTGTGGGGGAAAAGGTTTCCCCGCCTGCTGTCACAAGGAGGGGGAGGAGCGGGAGGGTGAGGTGGTGGATTCCTAGATTGTAAGCTCCAAGGAATAGAGCCCTCGAACCCCTCGTGTATTGTATTGCTACTGTATTGTCTCATGTACTGTCCCCCATTATAATGTACAGCGCTGAGCAAAAACCGTTGGCGCTATATAAATACTGTATAATAATAATAATAATTCTCAACATTTTACATGTTACACCCTAAATAGGGGCGTAACATGTTGAGAAAGGTGAACTTATCCTTTAAATTATAATTATGTATGTAAGGTCAAACCGCGCAAGCCCCTAATCAACTGATGTCACAAAGCTGTCTCCTAAAAAGCTAATTCGAATGGATACTGCGCTAGGTGAATCCTTATACCTTTATGAGCACGAGAAAGACCTTCACACCTCTGAAAAGCAATCAAGAAATGAAAATGAAAGAAAAATGATAATGAAATACGTGCATGCATATGAAGACCTTCACCCCTCCTGAAGGGCAATCCAAATTTAAGAAAAAAAAAACAAATGAATAAACTAAGTGAGTACAATAATCATAGATACGTATGAAAAACTGTGATATATGGGCAAATTACCCTGAAATTTCATACATTATATATGAGCCCTATAAAAACCCTCACACCTCTGAAAAAAGAAGGAAGAAAAAAAAAACAGTTTTTCAGCACTAATTTCAGAAAATACTATTAACCATTGCAGGCAGTTTTGACCTGTAGACACGGATCAGCATGGGCACCCTGACCGGCCTGCGGCGACACTGACCTGTGGACACGGATCAGCATGGGCACCCTGACCGGCCTGCGGCGACACTGACCTGTGGACACGGATCAGCATGGGCACCCTGACCGGCCTGCGGCGACACTGACCTGTGGACACGGATCAGCATGGGCACGCTGACCGCTTTGCGGCGACACTGACCTGTGGACACGGATCAGCATGGGCACGCTGACCGGCCTGCGGCGACACTGACCTGTGGACACGGATCAGCATGGGCACCCTGACCGGCCTGCGGCGACACTGACCTGTGGACACGGATCAGCATGGGCACCCTGACCGGCCTGCGGCGACACTGACCTGTGGACACGGATCAGCATGGGCACCCTGACCGGCCTGCGGCGACACTGACCTGTGGACACGGATCAGCATGTGCACCCTGACTGGCCTGCGGCGACACTGACCTGTGGACAAGGATCAGCATGGGCACCCTGACCGGCCTGCGGCGACACTGACCTGTGGACACGGATCAGCATGGGCACCCTGACCGGCCTGCGGCGACACTGACCTGTGGACACGGATCAGCATGGGCACCCTGACCGGCCTGCGGCAACACTGACCTGTGGACAAGGATCAGCATGGGCACCCTGACCGGCCTGCGGCGACACTGACCTGTGGACACGGATCAGCATGGGCACCCTGACCGGCCTGCGGCGACACTGACCTGTGGACACGGATCAGCATGGGCACCCTGACCGGCCTGCGGCAACACTGACCTGTGGACACGGATCAGCATGGGCACCCTGACCGGCCTGCGGCGACACTGACCTGTGGACACGGATCAGCATGGGCACCCTGACCGGCCTGCGGCGACACTGACCTGTGGACACGGATCAGCATGGGCACCCTGACCGGCCTGCGGCGACACTGACCTGTGGACACGGATCAGCATGGGCACGCTGACCGGCCTGCGGCGACACTGACCTGTGGACACGGATCAGCATGGGCACGCTGACCGGCCTGCGGCGACACTGACCTGTGGACACGGATCAGCATGGGCACCCTGACCGGCCTGCGGCGACACATCCCCATACACAACAAACTGTGGTGCCCAAAGGAAAAAAAAAGAAAAAGAAAACATATAACAGTAATAAATAGTCCTAATATGGTTTCAATACTATTAGTGGACACTAATAATTATTTATATTCAGGGGTGGACTGACCATTTGGAAACTCGGGCACCTCCCGAGGGCCCGGGGTCAGTAGGGGGCCCCATGAGATGCCCCTGGTACCTTTTTCATAGGCTTTTTTGAGTTTGTACACAGGGGCCCCATGATCCCCTATTGCCCAGGGGCCCCATGAGTTGTCAGTCCGCCCCTGTTTATATTAATCATATATAAAACTAAATCCACTAAAATCACATAATCTTCACTAAAATAAAATGTGACTGTGTTTAATTTAAATTTTATTTTATTTTAACTTTTTACATTTTTTTTTCTTTTATAAAGTTTATGTGATTTTACATTTTCAGAACATGTGAGTTGTGTATATTTTATGATTGATATGAAATAATATTAGTGTATCCAATTGTTCTTTCCCACAATGAAATATTGAAGGATTTTTCTCACCTTGTTTTTTTTTTTGTAATTTATTCATACACTTTTTTTTTACGATTTATGTAAAAAATTGTATTCTGGCTGTGATGGAGGGGGATGTCTTGCTCCCCCGTAACACTCTGGATATTTATTTTCTACCGGTTGTGATTTTGTTATCAAGAATAAAGGATATACAGACTTCTGATTGATCATTTGGTGCTCGCATTCCATTTATTCCAGCAGGTATATGACATCCTCATTTGACCCCCCCCCCCCCCCCACCATAAAGAGGACAAAGATAAAGTTTTATGATCGCCCCATATACCTCCAGTGATTGGATTTTCCATCAAGCTTGCCCGGTAAATAACGTACAGGCAGAAAATCCCGGAATGTCAGCTACACCGGCTAATTATTGGTAAATCAGGTCTAAAATGACTTTTCTTTGCCGAAGATCTGCCCGTGTAAGAACAGCTTAACAATCACTGCAAGTTTGTGATTCAATGATGAAAGATCAAGCTATGTATTTTTGCTTCAATTTCACATACGTAGCTTCGGATCAATACTGCATTTGGCCAAAGGCATGTCGGGCATTCTGAGTATCTAATTTCTGCTGTCAGCTTTAATCAGAATCCTGATGTCTCTTTTTCTCTCAGAGATCACTCAACTTTTGGTTGACAGGAGGGCACGCCTGCACATACCAGTCGTCAGGACCTGGAGCGTGTTGTAGAGAAGTGT